TAAAAAACTTTATCCAACCAACATTTTAATAGGAAAAAACCCGATTAAACTCATAGAAAGGCCATGCTCACCTCGACTTGCTCAAAAACCGAGTTTTGTACACAAGCAATCAAACATAGTATTTAAAAAAAAATATGTCTCAACCCATAATCCATAATGCCTCAAAAATTAATTACCAAAAGATAGTTGTTATTTTTTAATAGAGTAAATTGCACGAATGGTCCCTATGGTTTAGGGTAATTTGCATGTTTGATCCCTAACTTATTTTTTTAGACAAAATTGCAAGAATGGTCCCTGTGGTATGTCAAAACTAGCAACTTTGGTCCAAAATGGGTTTGGCTTGCAGGGATGGTCCAATAGTTTCGTTTTGTTGCGAGCTTAGTCCAAAAATTATAAAAAATTTTATAATGACGGATTTGCCCTTGGTATTTTCCATTTTTTTAATTTTTTATTACAGAAATAAATAAAAAAACAAAAATCTCTCTCTCTCTCTCTATATATATATATATATATATATATATTATGAGAAGAGGGTTTCGGTAAAGAGGGCGAATGAGGCTTCTCGTGAAGATGTTTCCGGTGAAGATGCTTCCGGCGAAGGTGCTTCTGGTGAAGAGGGTTCCGTCAACCGAGGCTTCTGGTGGATTATCGTCATCGTTGCTATCCTTCTTCCCAAACACTGATGGTTGTGGGGGTTTTCAGATCTGATTTAATGTTGTTTTATCGTGGCGGCAAGATTAGGGTTTCGTTGGTTCGTGCTTATTTTCCTCTAACTGATACAATGGTGGCTAGATTAGGTTTTAGGTTAGCGATGTAATAGGGTTCTTATACCCAAATTTTTGCGAAGCCTGAGGTGTAACTACCACCGTCACCTTCATACAGGTGATGATTCCGTGTATGTGATGTCTTTGGCTCCAGTGACGTTTCAGGCGACTTTGAAGCCAAAACGGAAACGAGAAGGGTTTTTTTAGAGGTGCAATTGTACTGAAACAAGATCAGGTGCAGCTCTGCTTGTAATCATCTCATGTATTCCACACTCCAATTAATTGTTCTTGTTACAAATCTGATTGTTCTTGTGGGTTTAAAAATCTAGTTGTTCTTGATTTTAAAGATGCAGATCAGGAAAAAAAATATGTTTGAATTCATCATACGGTGGTGGTAGTTATTGAGTTTCATTTTGAAATTGTAGATGCAAATTTATATGATGGTGGTGGAAAAAATATGTTTGAATTCATCGGATGGTGTTGGTGGTGACCGGCGGTCACAGTGGTAATGGATATTGTTGGTGACCAACAGTGGTGGTAGCGGTAGTGGTCGTGACAGACGGTGGTGGTGATAACATATCAATAGTTGTATGCTAGAGAGGGTGGAGGGGTGGGGTAGGGATAGTGGTAGTATTATTTTGGTTTAATTATGTAAATTGTAAAATGTATTTATATAAATTAAAAAAACCAGAAGTAAGGGCAAAAACGTCATTATAAAAAAGTTTAAATTGACTTGGACCAAATCTGCAACAAAAATGAAAAGTTTGGACTAAACTCGCAACAAAACGAAACTATTGGACCATCCTTGCGAGCCAAACCCATTTTGGACCAAAGTTGCTAGTTTTGACATACCACAGGGACCATTCTTGCAATTTTGTCTTTTTTTTTTTTTTAACTCGGAAGGTCCCTACTGTTTGTTTTTGTTACGCGGTTAGTCCATGTCTTAGCTAAAAAGACTATTTTGCCCTTGATTTTTTAATTTATTTAGATAAACACACTCCTAACCGCACCCCTTCACTTTACCTTACATACCTCATCATTTTTTTCTATTTAAATAATAGTATTTTTAGGTAAGATAAGGACCAAGTGCGTAACAAAAACAAACAGTAGGGACCAAACACGTAATAAAATCAAATAATAGGGATCTTCCGAGTTAAAAAATAAGTTAGGGACCATTCGTGTAATTTACTCTTTTTAATAAGTATTCTAAAACATTTTGTTACTCGTCTATTCAGATTGAGGTGCGGTTCACTGGTGTTGTGGACAAAAGGCGAGGGGAATCAGACAAAGAAAGGAGCTAGGATAATAAACTGTCCACAATTAATTTTACTAGTAAATATTTTATAAAATACTATATATATTGGTAAATACTTTTTATCAATCCTATGTTTAGGTAACGAAAAAAAAACATTTTCAATAACCAACTAGATACACAAGTTCTTTAAAAAAATAGATAAAGAATTTTATTCCACTATTAACGAAGATCACACTAACCAAGAGTAAAAAATGACAAATTTTTTAAGTAGAAACAAGATCTTTTGCCAAAACTTAATATTAAAAGGAAATTAAATGATAACTTTTGGAGTTTTATTATAGAATGAATGTAAACCTAAAATTGGGACCAACCCAACTACCTTGTACCTTCCAATTTCCATGGCCCATGCTACCAAAAGTTACTTTTCTTACCTGATTATTTAAACAAAATATATAATTTTGTAAAATGATAGAATTTGAATGTGATTTTATGCATATATTAATAAATAAAGTTATTTGATATATCATTTTTTTAATAAACTAAGTTAGTGAGAATACATAGATCCCACTATGAAACAGATATATCATTCGTTCGATGGGGGTTTACAGTAATAATTTCATCATATGCCAATTATTACAAAATGAAACTCAAATAATGTATTACGTAAATTGATCGAAGTATATCATTATTACCACATATAGTCTAAATTAAAATTGCCTTAACCATTAAATTCTAAAAAGATGATATTCCAATAAATGGGGATGTATTCGAATACTCAATAGCCCGATAAAGATTGGTTTCAAAATATAAGTACGGGCTGACCCAACTTTGTTAACTATTTGTTTACAAATTTACAATTGTGACTGAATTTGTATTATATAAAATAAAAAATATTTTGAAATAAAAATTTGCCATAAAGTTCTACTATTGGTTTTATAACAAGTTAATAGGTTAATGTATAATTCGAAACAACTAATAGCGGTTTTAAAATCATATTTTTTTTTGAACCGACAAATGAGATATATATTAAGAGAAATAAAAACCCCAACAATGTGCTAGGAGTTGAGTACAAAAATAAGTAGAACAAAAAACAGAAAGAAATTACAATCCTTTTATAAAAGGGTTTGAACACCGGTCTGTCCAACTAATCTTCTCTGATTTCTCTTGTATTTCACCTAAGTAAATACTATAGATATAGTAATATCCGCCATTGTGGTAGATTGTATCATTTTGTTGTTGAATAGCATCTCATTTCGTGATTTCCAGATACTCTATACACCCCCATAGCAGAAATGATATCTATAAAACATCTTCTCTTCTATCCTAATAAATGAGTACTCAAATTGTCATGTGACAATTATTGAGCCCCTCCCAAAGAATTTTCCCGCTCAAAGTTTCTATATGAAGTTTTGAAAATGCCTTTTCTGCCTCTTAAAACCCAATCTGCCTTCATTCTCATTCTCACGTTGGAAACAATCAAGAGTTTTCAACTTGTTTGCTACAAATCAGCTCCAAATAAATCTCAAGCATTCATCCATTCCTACAAATCAACAATCACCGAGATTTTCTGATCTTGATTACCAAGATCTGAACCAATTTCACTGAAATCCGCTATTTCTCCTCCTTAATCTGTTTGTGCAGGATTTATCATATTTAGGGGCTGTTTGTTTTTTTTTGTGAAGAGCTGCGCAACCAATTTTGTCTGCGCCGCGCAGACTACGCGCAGACATATGCCCTTGCAGAGTGTTTGTTTTTTGGAAGTGCGCAGACCAAAAAACGTCTGCGCGAGGTCTTCCTGGCGCAAACATGGGCCACTGTCTTCAAAGGTCTTCAGACCTCATTTTAACCCAAAAAAAAAGACCACTCGTTTTTTTTTTTTTTTTTTTCTTTCTCTTTTTGTTGAAAATGCATTTTTAATCTTTATGACATGAAATTAAGTTTGAAAAATTAATTTATTTCAACAACTGCAGACGTTAAAAACAAACAGTCTTCTTATTGCAGACTGCATACATTTGGTCCACCTCTTCTGCCGCATAGACTTGCAGATATGGTCCGCAGATTGCAGATAGGAATGGCAATGGGGCGGGTTCGGGGCGGGGCATGGATTCCCAAACCCGCCCCGATAACTTTCGGGTATCTTATCGGGGCGCCCCATTGGGTTTCGGGTTTCCCCGTCGGGTTTCGGGTATCTTATCGGGTTTACAACAACTGATAACGAAATCTTTATTCTCTTTTAGGGTACCCCAATGTCTTATAAAATATACATGTTCTAGCAACTCTTTTAAATTAAAAACATGATGCATCACTTTAATAAAATAAACTGGACGTTATATAAAAAATTATTTGATTTAAGTTTTGTTTAATACGTCAAAACACATAAAAATGATCATTAACACCAGATTGTTAATAACTTAAAAATTTTCCACGATAAGTATTTTATATTTGAACGTGTACAATTAGCAGCAAAATTTTTTGAACATATTATATATATATATATATATATATATATATATATATATATATATATATATATATATATATATATATATATATATATATATATATATATCGGGGCGGGGCGGGACGGGGCGAGGATAACCCACTCCCTGCCCCGAACCCGATAACGACCCGTTACCCGACCCGAAATGATCGGGTTTCGGGTTTCCCCGTCGGGTTCGGGTTTTTTTGCCATCCCTAATTGTAGACATTTTGGCTTAAAAAAAACAAACACCTTACTTAACTTTCATTGTCAAAGTATTCATTCTTTATCTTTTTTTATTCTTCTTGGTTATTGAAATCGATTGCTTAAAGTGGCTTTTGTAGGTTTGAAATTTCTGGAACCATAATACCTTATCTGTTCTCACGTATGCTCCTTCAGGAATAAAACTAATCGTATTTGAAACATTACCCAAGAGTCGATATTTGTAGCCTGTATTTATGTTGTTATTCATTTTTGCTATTACAAGACACATAATCAAAGGATGGATGATGACATCGAGACTATGAAAAGTAGGAACAAAAATCCTTTTTACAATTCATCTCGCTCTTGCATATGGTTCTCAAGATCTTTCAAGATTGGCTGTTGAGATTAAGTGGAAAGGTTCAAATAAGTCGAACAATCCACTTACTTTTAAGCGGGGAATTGTGAGGAGGATTGTTACAAAGAAATGATCTTTGAAGGATCGAATGGAACGAAGAATTTGTTGTTGTTGTTTGCAATTGCTTGGGTTTCAAAGATAAGTGTTTTCATCAGTGGGAAGCTGCATTCATGGTGTTCGATGTAAGTCCTCATCCAATTAACATAATCATATATTTTGTCAAGTTTTATTTTATATTATTCTTTCTAAATGATATTAATCTTGAGTTTTTATTTTATTCCAAGAATTTATCCAATTTTTTCCATCCTTGACTAAATTTACAAGCTTTGATTGAGTTGAGATTTTCATCAAACAAGGCTAATTGGAATCTGATAAACTTATCTTTTTTAGGAAGAATATTGGATAAATTTATGAATTATTCATTTAACTTTTGTTTAGTTTTGACTTTATATGAAAATCAGAGCGGTTTTCCTCTGGGTCTACTCATGTAGTACGATTTTGAAGATATGTTTTGACTTTATTAGGGAAGCTTTTTATAGATGTCAAAATCTATAATAAATATAATTTTCCAAAATTTATCCTTATATAAATTGTATTTGATTAACATATCACTATCTGTAACATATCAATCCTTTACTTCAATAACTTTTATTTGTTTATTAGATTATCTATGTTTGTTAAAAGGTATTTAACTGAATTTTTTTTTTTTTTAAATTTAAAACCACATCGTCAAACAATGTTCTCAATGTTTTTACTTATTTTTTATTAATTGAAATTTATAAGTTGTATGTAATACCAAATAATGAATTTTATTAGACAATATGTATCAACAAATATTCTGACTTATAAATAATTGTTTTTTAACAAGACATATTTTTGTTGTTTTAAGTGGTTTTAAACATTTTTAAAGATATACGACTTAAGTTGATTCAATTTAAAGTTGGGGTTTTGGGGTTTGATGAAGAAAATATGGAATTCTCATTGAAAAAGAGAAGGTTTAATTTTTTAATTGAATGTCAAATTTTCCATATTTTTGTTGTTTTTATGATTTATTGGTGCATCCGGTTATTTAATTGAAGATGAAGAGGAGAGGAATGTCAAAAATCAATGGTGGCAATGCCTCGTGTGATAAAAATAATAAAGGTCAAAATGTTTTTTTTTTTTTAAGTAAAAGTAAAATTGGATGTTCAACTCGTGTTTGTATAAAGTTGGGTTGGTCTTGGTGGGAAAAGAAAGTTAAAAGGATAAACAAATGGCATAAAATCTTTTTATGGTGAAAAATTAAAATAGATTGAAGAATACTAGAGATTGGATGCTCTGTGCAAAAATAAGATTAAAGGTCAAGATGGTCTTTTTTGGGATATGTGGATTTTATAAGCTTTTTTTCATCTACTTCAAAAACCGTGACCATGGTTGTAGCAAGAATAGGAATGAATAGTTTGATTTTAAATATTGGCGCAATTAAATTATAAAATGGTATTTCGGTCTTTTTATGAATTTTGATGAATCAAAACTTTGGTGTAAAAGAAAAATTCTAATCCTATTTGTTTCACTTTTGATATTGACTTCAAATTGGTATAATAAAAATTCTAATCCTATTACTTTAATATTTTTAGGCTTTGTTTTTATGAAATGTTTTGTACAGTGTCTTCACTACTTAAAAACCATTTTTAGTTTAGATAACAAGAACTTAATTTTCTTTAGCTACTATTTCCTTTTAACTGGGTTAGGCAAGTATGATATGTCTCTATTCTCCTCTTGTTCGAAGATGTTTACACAACCAAACAAGGTACCAATGATAAACCAAAGGGTCCAATGCAATTCATATTTCTAATCATGGTCACATATTTCTACTCATGTTCATAACCGATCCTCATTTCTCTTTATCATACTTGAACAAAATCTATGAATAAATGAGATTTAGCAATGTTCTTTAGGAAGATAACTAACTATGACAATTAGCTTTGAATGTGACACCTAAGCCAAGCTTTTAGAATTATTTTCACTTCTCAAGTTTTACATTATTTGATTACACCACTTTATGAATGATAACATTTCTTTAAATTTCAATGTTGTTTTTCTTTTTCAACCGTTGTTTCCACGGGTTTTACCCTAGTTATTTATTATATAAGTTGAATGGGTTATGTTTTTGCTTTTTGTAGTTAAATTATACGGCAATGATATTCAATGAATCTCATTTAAATAGGGTAAAAAGAAGATAGATGTTGGTAGTTATGCTTCTAAGGAATGGTAAACTGTTTTTTTCCTCAAAAATGAGCTCCAACATATGAGACATGAAGCTGTGGCGGTGACAATCATGCCTCCACCGCTTGGTAAGGTGTTTGCTACACCGAGATGGCCTCCTACAAATGAACGCACTCCTAAAATTGGCTTGAGAGCAAAATGTATCTTTCAAACAAGATAAAATTATAAATTATAATTCATTTACAAGTTAAATGATAACTTCCTAACATGTATTTATTTGGTCCTCTCTTAAAGCATGTGCTTTAATTTTCTACAACAAAATTATTGTAGGATGGGTTTACCATTTTCCAAAAGTGAACTTTTCTCATTAGATATTCAAAACTCTATGAATTAAAAATGGATAATTGTTATACATTTGTATTCCACATCGTAATATCTCCGTTTTGGTATATTAAATATATAAAACGAATTTTGGATGAATATGAAATTAATTATTAAAGCATGGCAGTTGAATGAGTTGGATAAATGTTTAATGAGTTTTAAGCCATGTCATGTATGTATCAACGTGAAAAGTAAAGGCATTTTACAAATAGAAAAACTTCTTAGTCTTGTAAAACGTAAAGTAACAAGGCTCCCCTGTGTGCCCAGGGGATGCAAATGCAAAAACTGAAAGACTTCGATTCATGAATTTGTGTGTGGCCATACATTGTGTGATTACAAATGCATCACTTGTCAATTAGAACAATACTAAATGCATGTGCGATCATATCTCTTATGATCATGAATGCACCACTGATCAACTCAAGAAATTCAAGGGTTGGTTAGAATCTTTGTGTTAAATTTTCGATTTAATGCTTTGAATGTTGGTTATAGAATTTGTTGCATAAATACAACATCTTCACAACCATTTTAGATACCAAAATTGCAACTATACTTTCTACATCTTCTATATTTGCTTCTACATTTTCTTTTTCTTCCTCTCAGTAAATTCCAACCTTAGCATGACCGACCATCATAGAACTTTTTCTAGTTGTAGCATCTTGAAAAACAAAATTTTGACTGTAGACAAATTACTTTTAAATGTATTGTGTTGAACATATGCAAATGTATTGTGTTGAACATACGCCTCGTAAAATTTCTATTATTGTCCTTTTGTGCATTACTACAATTGTTTTCTAACAATTCTTTCCATTTGAATATACCTATAATATTTAACTCAGACATGTGATTTCAGGAGAGTAACATTATATATATATATATATATATATATATATATATATATATACTATATTATTAAGCATATTGCATGTTTCTTGAAAATTAAGAGGTACAATACCTAATACCTCATGTACAATAATATTAAGCTTATAATCACATCGGCGTATACGTACACGGTATTACCTTATCTTTAATGTTACCCTAATCTTCTCTACACACAACACTAGACGCAACAACCTCCATCATAAGGAAATCAAACGCCTCTTCTTTGTGTCTCCTTCCTAATCGCTTCAGAATCGATCAATACTCACCAAAAAATCGTAGTGTCTCCTTTTCTCAATCGACGCCCTGGAAGTCCACCAACCATTCACATCCTAAACACCTATATGTATTTTACACTATTACACGCAGTTACCCCAATCTCCTCTACACAATAGCCGCCATTAAACCACATCTCTACCATCTCTCTCTTGGCGTCGTTACTAAATGTCTCAGTGCCTCCACCGTCGCCACCTGACTCCGACAACATCTCACACCAACATCACGTTCAACCACCATCTGGTCGTTGCTACAACCTATTAGCGGGTCACTGTCCACCATTTCATTCAATTCTTAGCAAACCACAACGATCAGATGGGATCAACAAAAAGCTGACTTCTCCTCAAATTACAACATCAAACAATCTCCGCTCCAATCTATAACTCTCTTTTGTATTCTTTTTTCTTATGTCATAATTTATGTCCTAAAGCCCTAATTTTTTCTAAATCGTTAGTCAGACAAGGGTTATTCTTCTTCCAAATGTTAATTTTGTGTAAATCGCCCTTTTGGGTGTTGATGAGTTGTTGCTTAAGTTTATTACTAAATTTTATAGGTTGGTACTTTTTAAATCGCATGTGGTCACTCTCCGACATCACAACCCACCTCCGCATCTATCATAGCTCACCATCAGGTGCCCATATCTCTCTTTCTTTCTCTCTCTCTCTCTCTCTCTCTCTCTCTCTCTCTAACTCTGTGTATGTGTATGAACCCATATGCTAATCATTCGTCCCTTGGTTGCAGACTGAAGTTATTGGCTGGTCAGTTCTGAAAATCCCAAAACCTTTGTGAGATGCTATTGAGATGAGAGAATCTCTTTCTAAATGCAACAACATCCATGTGTACCATTATAGTTGTCTGAACCTAGCAAGAGATGTTTATGGGGAGAGTTTAGATCTGATATCAAAAACATGGTGGTTTCTTTATCGAATGGTATAACATAGAGGTTCAATTTATGCTTTACTCATGATTTTGTAAGTTACTAAAGTATACTTCATATATTATGACAAAAGTGGGGTTATTAGAGATTTTTCACTTTTGGATTTAACCCTCTTGCTTATGCTTGGTTTTTATTGTTAAGCAGATCTGTCAGCCTTGAGTGCGTACTTGGATATTCGTTGATTTTTAGTATTCATCTAAGCTATAAAATCCTAGCTGCTACCATCGACCTAATCACTCCTATACATGTAATCAGGTATAGAGAGCTTGTAGGTGCAAGTTTATTGGCTCTTATGTGAAAAAGGAATTGACAGATGTTTTGGGTTTTTTTTTTTTTTTTTTTATCTATTTCAGATCTAACTATGGCTACCCCTCTCTCTCATACACACATAAATGGATATAATCAGGTAGGCTTTACCATTCCGTTCTTTCCAAACAAACCAATTATTACAAAGAAATTTTGATTTTGGAAGACTGATTAAATGAAGGGTTCACTGTTTCTTTTGGCTAATAATTTAAAGAACTTGCGATTTATTGATGTCTTAATGGGTTTACCAAAGTTGCTTGGTAATTATTGATTTCTTTTGTGCTAAATCTTCAAGCTCATATATCATACAATGGGGGTTTTATTATATTGGATGGTGATTGAAATAAGTAGAGGCTACTCTTTGAAGTTTTATGGTGCTGCTTATGGTTCTTTTTTGCTGACATGGAGGTTTTATTATCCGGTTTTCCTTTGAATTTATTGATTTGTTATCATATTTGTTTGGTAATGTATAGTGATTAAGTTATCATAAATGTTTTTGCACTCTCTATCTATTCGATAAAATGTCTCAAAGAGTGTTTAATTCTGATTCTTAACTTTAATTAGCTCAAGTTATCATCCGAAATGGACTAATCTATGTAATATGTCCAGTAAAACACGTTCACTCAACAAAATTACCAATCTTTACAAACTCAGCTAAATTATGAAGTTTACAAGTGTGTAAATTTGAAAAATTTATGGATCTTATGCAAGTATGTAAATTTGATTACTTATTGAGGGGTTTATATTGGCATCACCGAACATGGAATCCTTAACTGCTGGAATTATTCAAACTCTGAAACATACATCAATTTATTGAATAAGATAGTCTATGAAAATCAACAATAAAGTTTCTGAAGGATTGGCATTTATCCTTTGTGATGGTAGATGCTAACTAATCATGTAACTTTGTCTGCTCAACTTTTCATTGCAGTTGTGCCTAATGAATTGTAATCTCAAACTTCCAATATTTTCTTATTTGAGGTAAATTAAATAGTAATCTTTATTTGATTTAAATTTCACAGGTTGGCGTCTCCCATACATTTTTTGAAGAAAGAGATTTCAACATAATGGAATTGTTGAGCTATCATTGGCGATATTTGGTGATTTGGCAATGCAAATTGAGGGATAAGTTACTTTGGGAGAGTTAGGGTGTCACTTGAATTGTATTTGCAAAAAAATTATATGGGTATGGGCTAGCTATTAAGGTTTTATCGTACATGCTGGTGCTGGTATTCAATTTTCTCAAGTAATCATTCAATAAGAGATTTACTGCACTTTAGAGTCTCATTTCTATGGTGATGTTGCTGTATAGACTTTCTAGAAGTGATGCAGTTTGCATATCAAAGAAGATTTGTTTGATTTGGAAAATATATGGTTCAAAGTCTCATGTAATTTATCTCTTTGGGTTGTAAAAAAGCAAAAGTTTGCACATATATGTTGGACTGCATTCTATTTGTTTAAGTCAAATTTTACTTTATTACTACTTATTTGTATATAAGTAAGGACGGGAGTCAATTTTTACTCATGTACCGTTTATTTGCGTTCCATTTTAATATGTGAGTATATTTTGTATACAGGTAAGGCTGTAAGTCAAATTTTACATTATTATCTGTGAGTCGAGTGGAGTTTTTTTTTACAAATCAAGACTTACGTCGTATAGAAACCAACTACATGTCAAAAGGATAAAACTTTAAAATTTTGCACATATTAGCATATTACCAATGTTTTAAAACCCGGGTTTTTAATTGACCCGGTATGATGACCGATTCACGGGTCAACCTAGTTTATGATCTTTTTTTATTTTCATATATTTTTACTTTCCTGTATAATGCATAGACATATAAAACCAATAATTTGATGCCTTCAAAGTTTAAACATTGAAAAAATATCAAAACATGTTATAAATTGTGCTTGTAATCGTTCTTCTTCCCTTGATTCCATATTTAATTGCATTGAAAAGCAATGTTGTAATTAATAAACATATGTTAATTGGATCCTAATTATATAATCTACACAATCAGAAACCTTGAAACAGTGATCAATTAACAATGAATAATCAATAAACTCACCAAAACCGTCACCTTCACAGTCGATAGGAGAAGAAAACATCAATTAATCGATCAAAACCATATCAAAATGGGTCAATCCGGTTTACCTGGTTCGACATAAACGGTTCGACCGCGGGTTAGGGGAAACCCGATCGGTTCGATCCGGTCCACATTTTTTTTACAAAAAACCGTTCTCAATTGACCCGCCTTCCACCCAGGGTTACGGTCCAACCGGTTGAACCGGCCGGGTCGATCCGGGTTTTAAAAGATAACATATTACAAGATTAACAGAAACCAACTACTTTTTGTCAACTTACTATCGTTTTGTATCTATAAAATGAAGATAACGTCTTTCGTCAATAAGGGTGTATGAAGAAAACAAAATCCGAATAAACCGACCGGACCAAATAAGGTTTGGTTTAATTGGTTAATTTTATTTGGTTTTCAGTTAAACCGATATTTTTAAAACCTTATTTTATTCCGTTTTCGTTTAACATTTTGTCTATTAAGGTTAACAGAATAAACCAGTCAAGATTTTAAAATTATAAACCTTTTTATTTTTTATTTTTTATTATACATATCTGATTCCATAATAAATTAAACTATTAGTTGGAAACTCTTAATGAAAGTAATCGATTTATGAATATGCTTTATATAGGTTGTGTATGGTTACACTGTTATTTCTAAATCTTTAATTTTTATATTTTTAGATTAAAATAACATATATTTTCCTTCTAACACAAAACAATAATATAATTATTTTTAACCCAAAAAACAATCGTACTTTTATTTTTCACCAAAAATAATAACAAATTTATATTTTTAAACCAAAATTGTGGATATTTTTACTTTTTAATCTAAAACAACAATATACTTATATTTTTAAACCAAGATATGAACATATTTCAGTTTTTACAGACTACAATATGTTTCTTTGAAATATGAAATGTTTCACTGCAAAAAAAATAAAAACCACAAGCCAAAAGAAAATGATCGCTTCTACGAAACTATGCACCAAAATGAATCTGTCACATATGCCACAACCAGAAGGAAATTATCTAATGATACCGAAAGGAAACCAATCATTGAAATGAACTAATCTTTGCCGCCGCATCGCGCGGGTACGCTACTAATATATATATATATATATATATATATATATATATATATATATATATATATATATATATATATATATATGCAACAAGAAGTGTCGGCCACTTAATGTGAAAAAAGAAACATGGCCTTAGTCATATGTAATATGTCGCAGCATAAAAGCTTTTGACAATATTACAAACAATTGTTATACAACTAAAAACTCATTAGTTTAGTTTATCTAAATAAATTTAAAACTATTAGGATTAAATCAATTATAAGAATGTAAATCACATAAAACCACCAACCTCAATTAGGACACTTCCATATGAAACTTTTGTAGACTGTAAGCTACTTGAGGTTATTCATACTTTAATGCGGTAAATGTAAACAAGTCCATTAACAAACAAAACGAAAGAACTTTTAAGAAGTCAACGTCTAACATTAAAACTTGATTGTATACTTGGGTCCACAACTTCGAGCAAGTCATCTAAATTTAGCAACATAATGTGCTTTTTTCCCTAGAAAACTAGTTTAACCAATTTGATTCATTTCATTTTTCGTTAAATTTACATGTTACTAATTTGAACAATCGGAGAAAGTATAACGCAAATGAACTCATTTTTAGGTTAACATGTCGAAACTACATATATTGCGATTCGCGAGTAAACATAAATATCAAACATGAGATTGACATATAGTTATTTGTCCTCAAAACTCACTCCTTCAAATGTCAAGACATTTTTGACATCATTCCTATAAAACATATATTGAGACATGTTATGATAATAGAAAAATAGCTACTGTAATAGGTTAAAACAATTAAAATAAAACATACATTAAGTAAACAAATTATATTTTTTCCACATTGCTTCTCCAAAATATTTATACAATAGGAGCCACAAGTTATTTTATAGGAAATTGTAGGATACGATTCAAATTAGATCCCATAAATATATGTACTAAATTGGAATAATCACTTATACATCTCATTACAATAATTTGGAGAGACTATCTAGAAAACTAAAAAGCAAAGATGCAGAGAGTATATAGATAAGAATTCAAACATTTCAAACATTTTTGACATAGTCAAGCATTGAACAATCAAAGTAATTCATTGAACCCTATTTTAACTTATCAATAGCATACCAAACCCAAAACATTAATCCACCAAAACCCATTTTGCAAAATCACAAAAAAGATCGAGATTTTTAGGGTGTAAAAAAAAAAATTTCACCGCAATTGAAAAAGAAACTACACATTTGAAGGATATAAAGAAAACCCACCACGGCTTGAGTAAAACCCTAACTTCCAATTAATGAAATCTAAAAGTAAAGGACCATACTTTAAAGCATTCAAATATAATCATCAACAACCTTTGATTGGTGAGAAAAACGACTCCCCATTTGATGGAGTCCTATGTATCAACCAAAGATTACCTCCACAGTTATGGTTTGTAAGATTAAATATAGCAGGTCTTAACTTTCTGATTTCGGATTTGATTCCTCCACACAATACGAACTGATAAGATATGTTGCCTTCAGTGTGTGAAAATAGGCCTAAATCATTTTTGGTTTCTCATAAGTGTAGGGTTGAAAATTGGCGAGAATAGCCGAGAACTTGACACCATAATCGATCGAATCATCATTCATACCAATCCTAGTAGGCATCCTAGATTAGACCCATATATGCTTCCTCCTAATCACCCTTTGTACCTTTCTCTGTGATAGGCTTTGATTATAATGAAGAAACAAACCAGAGTTTATTCTTTTTGTTGAAAATTTGGTAGGATTATTCTTGTTGAGGGAACCGATACACGTGACGGAAAGATGGAGGGTATTTCGAATTGCAAAAAGAAGAGTGGTAGAATGGATGCGACGATCAGAAAGTTTAAATTAATTCACATTTTGATAAATTGCGTCGTTCCAAGAGTGGGTTACGTGGAGGCATTTGATCCCTATGAATTTGTTCTAAACGGTTGGAGAAAGGAAGGGCTTTTATATATATATATATATATATATATATATATATATATATATATATATATATATATATATATATATATATATATATATATATATATATATACTAGAAAAATTTTGAGGCCCGTGCTAAGCACGGATCGTGGAGGGTAATTTCGATATTTTATTTGGAATGCCAAATGTAAGTACATCGCTGTTATAGGTAATGAATTCCAATTACATGACTATTATCAGTAAAGAACCAAGAATGTTGTTATTGTTACGGAGATTGAAGTATATTGATATTTTGGGCATGAAAAGTAGATTACATTGCCATTAGGGATAAGGAAATGAAATTACAATGGTATTACAAATAAATTGTTTGTTATCAGCCATGCGTAGTTCAACTATAACTCCCTCATTGTCATCCCTTGTTGCAGTTAAGATATGCACCCTGGTAGCATTTTGTAAGTGAATTATCTACTCAGTTATGCTACTTTCTTTTTTCTATATCATTTTACATTCAATTGAAATGATAATATATAGACAGAAATGAAAACAGATAAAGTTTTTTATGCAACGAACACACTCCCAACACAAATTTTATGCAACAATACATGAATTATGGCCGATCTTTCTTTGAAATGTAGAATACATGAAAAAGAACTTGGAAATGAAGAACCATAATCAAATATACAAATAAGAAAGATATCACCATTATAAGCAAATAAATGACTAACTTTTCTTCTTTAATGCTGAAAAATTAGAAAATGGTAATTTGTGGCTACATGCATAGCGAGTTTGTAAGCATTGTACTTTATTAACTCAAATTTTAGCGGCCTACTTTATCCAATTAGGAGCATTCCTTTTGCATCAGGCGATTGTACTTTGAAAATATACCCAATTTAAGCATTGAAAATTGATTTGTATTCAAATAATATTGCTACAAACGGGTAGATATTTAAGTGGGATGCTATGATAATTAAGTGAATGGAAGTATGTGGCTAATTTTTGCATTTATGCCATTTTTTTTTTACCTTTCGTCATGAGTTAGTCACAAACGAGGATCATCCTTTAAAACATCATGAACACATTGTTCAACTATAAGCCATCTAATGAGTTCAAGTAAATTAAACTGCATTTAAGAAGATAATAGTAACAATGGTTTTAAAAACTGCCAAAAAGTCCCAATTTCATTAAAAAGCATTTTTTGCAATAAACAAAAATTATGAAATAAAGTTCACCTTATGATGTTGGAGCAAGTAAGGGTTGTTATTTCCATGTTTTTAGAAGATGTCACAGTAATTTTATACTTATCGGCCGCACAATCATACCATAGAAGCAAAAACCAAGAACAAATTAGAATAAAATTGGGAGCTTTTGAGGGAAATTGATGCTTACTGGATTGTATAAACTCCCATACGATAATTTTAGAATGAACGTCATCCTTCCTGCATGCATGAAGTCCCGTTGTAAACCTTATCAAGCTTTATTTAAATGAAAATACGTTACAACCCAAAGTCAAACACCCGGATAAAAAAATTAAGGTAGGCTTCTATTGATCAGTTTTGCACAGGTTTTTACATTCCTCTACCTTTCATCATGGTCATCCACCATTACCCCCATGATTCCCCGCTTTCAACTCATGTCAGAAGGTACTTATTTGGCTGCACAAGAAGGTATCATATTGTCTTTGCTTAGTGTCACTTAAGGTTCTAACCAATATATAAATGCAGGGAAGTTGGCATCGAGTTGAAACCACAATACACACGAAAGAAAATTTCAAAATGATATATATAGTCTCCTTAACAGATGTCAAATGTTTTGTAAATTTTTCTTCTTTTGTTAGTTGAGGGTTTTTATGTCTTTTTTACTCTTTGCACCTAGTGATTATTTAGTTTTTACACTTTTCAATAACATTATAACGACATTAATATATATAAATTTCTTAAAATACTGTCAAGCAAATATCATTGCATAAAGAAAATTTCACTTCTAGATGGCTGTATCGATTCCAATATATAAGAAATAATATTGGAAAGGTACAATATTCCAGGAAAGCTATGTAGATTCCTATCATTTAGGATTGTTGGTTCAAAGCGGTTGGGAGTGGCAGTTGTTGATGTGGTCTAATTTGTTTGTACCATTTATGAGAAATTACAGTCATATATAATTTAGGATTAAGAAGCAATTATAACACCAACCTTCATGAAGATTGGGTGCTATGCTTTTTGAAACATGTGCAAGCAAACTGTTATATTTCTTCATTGAAAGTCGGTATTTACTAAAGTCTTAATAGTAGTTCTTTATTTAACTTCTATATATATATATATATATATATATTAAGCCAGTTATTGCATTATCATTGCTATCGGGTTATTACCTTTACAGTATTTGACAGCAAACAGAAAGAAAGGAAGAACCATCAACCATATAGGATTACTTCTTGTCCTTCTACGGTGCTGAAAAAAAAGGGAGTTATTTAAATAATCCACAGTTACTAAAAAATTAAAAATTAATAAAGACATTTACCAAACCATGAAATATAATTTCTCAGGTGCTTTAACAAAGGAATATCAGATGCGTTTTCTATACCATTAAAAACATGCAAGCAGGTAGGTTTTTTTTAAATAAATATTGCCCGTTTTATGTCCTTGAATGTCAATGGTCTACAATTTACCAGCAACCAATAAGGAAAAACTCTCAGAAATCTATTTTCTACTGTAGCAGTAGGTAAAAATATTTAGAATTGAGAAATTATGTTTTTGGCATAAAGATATTGAAATTACAACCCAAAACAACAATGTTAATCCTAAACGGAAACCTCTGAAATAAAGAGTTTATAAGATTGGATAAAAAGGGACAATTTCGAATATATTTTATCGGGGCAAGACAATCCATCGATTGGATTAACGGTAACAAGTTTAAAAATAAAATAAAATAAAATAAAAACTTGAAATCAAAGTAGGGTTCTTGTAGATAACATACCATTGGGAGGAAGATCACAGTTTTGTCGTTCTTTGATTCAGCAACTAAAACATTTGCGGTCAACAATTGGGGAATGTTTTGTTGGTAGCATAATTAAGGTTTTCCGATTGGCTTTTTGTTGGAGATGAACCGGTAAATTGCAAAAGGAAGGCGTCCAAGGGATGCGACGATCTGGAAAATGTAATCGATACTTCACAAAGATTAAAGCGACATTTCTGTATGTTGCGTTGTTCCGAGAGTAGATTACGTGGAGGTAACCGAACCCTATCAATTTTTACTAGACGAAACCAGATAAAACGGGCTTTTATATATAGTATACTAGAAACATTTGAGCCCGTGCTTAGCACGACCACGAAGGGTCTTTAAAACAACACATGGACAGTTTGATGATGTTGAGTTTCAGGGTTTGCTTTTGATATATAAAATGAACCAACTGTCATTAAGGAAATGTAAGTACGATAAATAATATATGCATATTGATATTACGAATAAATAAATACAAGGTTTGTCAGTCTATATTATTCATCAGAAGAAAGTACGTTGCTATTTTTTGGAATTTTTGAACTTTCCTCCATTTCTGCATCTTAACTAAGCGCGAGTGTGATAAACAATTTTTGCTTGTTCCATATCAACCTTTTTGAAATATTTCCCTTCAAAAATGATACCATTAGTTCCATTATATTAAAAGTTGAAAAACGAAGGGTCGTATTTACATCAAAAGCAAAAATTTTAAAGGACATAAGCACAGTGCATTCTTGCAGCTAAGTAAAAATTTGAATCCATTGTTACAATATACTTTGTCCCAAATGTGGGTACTCACTGAAAGAACATAAAGACAGTATTGTCATGTTTAAAATAACATACACTGTATAATGTACTAAAGAGGGGAAATAACAATGTACTTAAAAATAAATCAATACAATATGACAGATCTTATTCAGTAATCAACAAATCTTTCCCAAAACCACCATTCTTTTCACAACAAGGTGTTCTTCCTATGATTATTACATCAATCTCTAGCTCTACTATGTTATAGAGATATGCACATGGAGATACTTTTGCATGTAGAACGAAGGTAATAACTAATAAGTATAAATATCACCATCCCCCCACTCAAACACAAAACTATTTTAACAATCTTTGGTCAATTTGTTATACGTTGACAAATGTTTAAGCTAAAGTCTTGATAACCCACCGACTTAAAATTCAAGATGAATCTCCTATCATGAGAGAAAGGGAGTATCATTGAATTAAGTCGTAAAAGTTAAAGATGATGATAACGGCTTAATATGAGTTTACCTTAAAGCCGACAGATTCAAGTAAAATAAGAATGGGTTGTGTCATGCTTTTTAGGTAATTCAGGGACTAAACGTGTAACAAAAACAAACAATAGAGACCTTTCGAGTTTAAAAAAAAAGTTAGGGACCAAACACGCAAATTATCCTAAACCATAGGGACCATTCATGTAATTTACTCATTCACTAATTATAAACGCGGACACTTTGACCTACAACCCTTCTTTTTCCTGAGAAATTCAAACGAAAACATTATTGTCGCCATCATTTAGTTCTTATTAGCAATACAAATTACATATCACACATACATGGTCAAAGGTTAACACATGAATTAAACATAAGCATGAAATTGTTCCACGTGATCTGATTTCATAAACCAACTGTTACTCATATGATATGAAGATAATGGGAAAAAAATTGAATCCAAATATGTTGGAAAAAGTGGGTTTTATACTAACTTATATATGGATCATGAGTGGGCAAACAGGGATTCTAAAAAAAGACAACATCTACAGAACCGACAACAACAAATATAGGAAAATAGCATAAACTAAGAAGATTACAAAATGAACAAACAGATCCATTTTTTTCATATCATAACTGTGATGACAACTATCATAATTCATAAACACATAAAACCATTTTCATTGCCAGGTAGTCACCGAACCGAAGGCATACTATGAATGCTTGAGTATATATCCTAAAATAAGATAGGTGGTAGCAAAGCCAAATATAGCATGAACCTATGGTAAATCAAGATTATTGATTATGTAAAAAGACCAAAATCCATTTAAAATTACATATGCAGAAGATTTTATCCCCCATTATGAGCGGAAATCCATCAAAGGGTTTGTTTGAAACCTTGTTTTTATTTGGTTTAAATAAATGCAGCTGGAAGATTGAAAACTGAAACTAAAGTCTGAAAAATACATAATTTCTTTTTCTTTGATTCCAAAAGAGAGTATACATAAACATCACATATATTTCTTGTTTTTAATTGGTTTAAATCACAAAATACTAAATGAAAATCTACATGCACATACACAAAGATGAGAGAGATGCACACAAGATAAAAACAAACCTACTATTCCAAAATCCTGCTTGCAAATAACATAGTTTCAACAAAATTGTACCGACTTCAATAAGAAGAGCAAAAAAATGTTGATTTCTTTGTGGTAATTGAAAATCTTATAAGTTATAATGAATTGAAATTGAAGGATCCAATCTTTAGGTACCTTCAAAGAAGAGGAAAATTTTCATCAATTGAAACCCTAAATTCAACCAAAATTTGTACCCAAAGAAACTAATTATGTATGCTTTAAAAAAGAAAACCACGTTAGCAAATGCAAAGAACAGATTCACATACAAAAAAATTTCGAAAAGGGGATGAACATATGATAAAAGAAACCGAAATAGCACCTTGTTGAAGGAGATAGAGAAGTTCCACAATGAAAGAATGTGCTACACCATGTTGACGGAAATGTTGCCCTAAATTCTAGCCATGGGGAGAGACCGATCTTTATGCCTCCATCCTTTAATTTGATTGTAATCGTACTGAAAGATGCCATTAACTCCCTCTGCAACGTCCTATTCTTATAAATAGTTATAATAAAATCATTCAAAATTAAAACTTTAATTGTCTTCTGCAAATCTTGGATTTTATGCTCCCACTCGTTTTCACATAGTATGCTGTCTTTCCGGTTCAAAGATGTAAATAACATAAGCCCTAAATTGCTTTGGATTGAATTGTGATTTTGATTGATGAATGTGAGTTTAATTTTTCAGTGTGGGGCATGCTGATCGGGGCGGTGGCGATCATGAGATTTTAGGGTCTTAGTAGAGCGTGATATACGATCAAAATGAGGCAATTGATATGAAGAACACAGAAGCAGAGCGGTAAGAATTGAAGCGGTGGTGGAGACAATGGAGCGCAAACGTAACGGTGGGAAAACCGTGTAGAATTTATCTTAATCCCTTGGTCGGTGTGAATCAAATTTGAAGTCCATGGCGTCGTTCTGGAGATAGCTTATGTCGGTTAAGGCAATATGTCACATGGTAACATGAGGAAATGAGAATCGACGTCGATCTCTATGGCATCGTTTAGAAGATAGTTTACGTGGCGTACTAAAAACCCTATAAGTCTGATATTGGCGACACCAGAAAAATAAGGTTTTTATATATAATAATGATATATATATATATATATATATATATATATATATATATATATATATATATATATATATATATATATATATATATATATATATATATATATACTAGAAAAGTTTGAAGCTCATGCTAAGCACGACCCACCAAAGGCAATATGATACATCTTTTATTGTTATTTAAAGTATATTGCGCTAATAAAAAATGTAAAGATGCAATGCTATAAATGGATGTATTTTCAATGTAGAATACATGAATAAAAAATAACTATCGACAAATCTTATTAAAGGCCTTTGGAACTTGTTCATTGGTTGCCCATTGATCTTAATCACACTTTTCATTCTGCGTGTGTGCTAAAAAATTCAGCATAAATTAGAAAGATTTAAGACTTTAAAAGCTTTTTTTTATGTTGCAACCGTCAATACATATTTGTTGCATTTGAATAGGCAACTGATGTTTATTTAATTGAATGAAAGTGATTCATTACAAATTACTTGTTAATGGATGTTGTATAGTGATAAGTTCAATACTCTAAGAATACCCATCCACCTAATGATTTTTTTTGTGTATCAATGTCTGACTTGAATGAAGCACAATTCCTACTTGACCTCATTTTTTGTCTTGGTATTAAGTTATTCAAAACACAACAATCACTATACACAAAATATTTCAAGTGTACCTTTGAAGGAGGCGGGAAAATGGAATTGGAGAGAGCAGAAGAAGATGATACAACATGGTCAGCTAGCACCTGGAGTTGAACTCGAGCAAGTCAGATGGTGCTCCATAAATGCGCACATTCCTAATGGACACGACGAACAAAAATTGTGCAAATGTAGGCTAGTTTAAAATCTAAATTCGATTAGTAATTAACTTGATAAGGGAAAACCTTTAAATCACTGCTTGTGAGCAACACGTGAAATGTTGAATCACTAGCTTCAGAGAGTTGTAAATTTATAAATTAGTTTATAACCTCCACACCTACAACTTGGTCAAGGTAATGAAATCTGCTTGTTGGACATAACCTTCCGCACCCACAACTGAATATTCTATATAAGCAGTTTCAAGTGACAAGTGTTTATAAGCTGTTTGAAGTGACAAGTTTGAAAAAAACCCCAAGTACCAATAAAGTTTCAAGAATGTGTATCCACATAACAAAACATTAACATAATGCTTTACTCAAAGACCAATCTGAAAAACTTTTGATGTTAGACAAAATATGGTAAAAACAAAAAAGGAAGGGATCATTTTTGTGAGTTACATACAAATTAAGTACAAAATCATTCTTCCTTTGGCAGTTAACTTCTAATTGAGCAGCTCCTTTTCCTTAAGTTGAATTTTTTTTAAATAGGCTTAATTGGTGTGCTGAAGAGAAAAAAAAAAGGAAAGATGGAATCATTCAACTTTTGAACAACAAAGTTAACAGAAAATATAGGTACCTCCTCTTTTACAATTAAACTAATTGATTTTTTTTCCATCATCTTACATCTTCTTTAATGCTAAAATGCTTGATTTAATTTTACTATTTGTCTCGTCAAGTTTTTTTTTCCTTCTGTTTAAGGGTCCTCTACATTTCATTCACCTTGTCCTCGTTGCATTTAATGTTTTATGCCCTTCACATAATAGTTCTTCACCATCTTGCAGTTTCTTTTCTATTCCCATATATCCTTTATTTGTTTGGTGAATGCGGTTTCATATGCTTCTCTACTGTAAAAAAGTAAAGTTCTCAAATCAATAGTTATAATAAGTCATAATGAAAACTTACAACATAATATACCCTACATTGGTGTTCACTATGTAACAGGCTTTCTGTAATTGCAAGTTTGATTTTGAAAACAATATGATGTGTTGGGCAGATCCATAGTTTAGGCATGCATAATCTTGTTTTTGGATTCCAATATTAGTATATTTTCTTTAAAAATACTTCATTTTTTCTCAAAAACACAATGTTTCAGACGAAATAACAAATTGATGTAAATATTACTCTAATTTATATTTTTGATTAAGGAAAGTTTTACTCTAATTGGAACTTGAAGGGGGTGTACTGAAAAGGTTGAGCATTTATAGAAACAAAGGGCAAAATGGTTACAATCCAAAAGCAGGAAAAAGCAAATAAACACGTACCGATTATATATATTCCATGTATACAATTATTTCACACAGTTGCAGAGTGCAGATAAGCTGTAAAATGAAGTCACACGTCTTATCTCAACTGTACTTTGATCAATTAGATGCATTGTATTCATTTTTCACAATGTGGGTATGATTTTTCTACAGCAGATTCACTTTATACCCCACTAACACCCTTCACAATGGAATTGTTTGATAAGAATGTGAATTGTGTGTAACATTAGGTTTATTTCGAAACTACATTCTATAACTGAAGCAACCACCAAATATACAATCTCATGCCTGGTAAGTTGCTCGAATTCCAGATCCATTCTTAAAGGAACCAAAGTGATGTGTTGTAGTCAAAGGCCCTGCAATTTAATAATTATGCTATGAACTTTACAACATTTACTAATAACATAAATAAAAAATTTAATAGTAAATTCCCAAAATCTAGAAAGTCATCGTAATATTGGTGAGTGCACGAGTTTTTATATCGAGTTTTTGAATTCCTTTTAAGAATACTTTTCTATAATGAAAACATTTCTTATTTATTTATATAGTCTTCTATATTTTAAGATATTGTTTATTAATCTTAAATGAATATCTTTTCAGGATATCTAACAATCCTATCGTAATATAACTAGGATTGTCTAGAGAGAGTTTGGAAGTTGGTTTGAGATGAAAACCCAGGAAACAAGCACCCCTATTTATAGTGATGGTGTACACCGGGTACTTTGCTACGTGGCGTGCACTTGCTTCGTGGCCTATCTAAATCTTGCCACCTGTCACCCTTCTAGTGGTCAACATTTCCAAATCCTTGATGAATCTGGGGTTAGATGTACATGACGGGCATGGTGCGCACATTGACGCGTACCCTTTAATTATTTTTAAAAATTCATATTTTCTTCGTACGAACTTTGTTTCTTACACTCTTTATATATTTATGTAGCTCTTTCCTAGAACTACAACTTTCCTTTAGGTAGTATCTTCTAATTGTAACTTCCATTTTTAACCCACATTTTTATATTTTATAAAAATCGTATCTCCGTCATACCACTTGCATTTTTTCCCTTCTGTCTTCTCAAGTTCCTATCTCATGTTTTACTAAAAATTTCCTTTTTGTAGTGTTATCTTAAACTCAACCATTCTCTTTTTGCTATTTTTTATGTCAATAATGTGGTTGGTTTCTATTCGTCATAGATCATAACTCTTCCAATCATAGTTAGATTTTCTAGACGCTTTGAATTTTTGGGATCGTTAGGTCGCGTATTTTCCGAATACACTAACCATTTTAACTTTTTGATTACTTTATTTTTGCCACAACTTTCCATATTATCCTTTAATATGGGAAGTTTTTGTCTTTATGAGTCAAACCTAACTCCTAGTAACAATTAATGATAGGAAATTCTCAATTGTTACACAACTCGAGGGGCTCAAGGAGGAAAAATGGAAAGGGGAGAAAATTAGGGGCCAAACTCCTATCTTTTATCACTGATAGATGTGGATTGCTTACTCAATGTGGTAGGGTTGGGTCCTAGTTTAGGTTTGGGTTTGGTAGGCATTGTTAGAGGAAGCACACAAATCCAAGTTTTCAATCCATCCTGGTACGACGAAGATATACAAGGATTTGAGACGTAGTTACTATTGTCCTTGCAAGAAAAGAGAAATAGCTTGGTATGTGGACCGATGTATGACTTGTCGGATGGTCAACGTTGAGCACCAGATGCCTCATGGAAAGATTCATACCTTATATATTCTCATGTGGAAATGAGAACATATTCCGATGGATTTTATCACCAAGTTTCAAAAGACTCCTCGTGACATCGACACTATCTAGGTGATAGTTGAAGGTTGACCAAGAGCTCCCATTTTGTTTCTATACATGAGAGTTATGTTGGGTTTTGTATATTACAACATCCTATAGTGCACATATAACCCTAAATGCCTTGGATTTATGTTTTGTCTAATTATACATGTAATAGTGTTTATAAAGCATTAAGCCTATAACTAGCATGCAATTGACATAAACAGTATAAAATACTAGTTAGGATGACATACCTTTTGTTGTAGCTTGAAACCTTGTAGTATTTGGCCTTAAGAGCTTAGCACCAAAAGTATGAATGCCTCAAATGGCTCACAACACACCTAGGACAAAGGTGACTCTTGAGAGAGAATTTCCATGCACTAAAACACCTCCATGAACTCCAAGAACTAGAAGTCTGCATTTTTAGGTTATGGGGGCATATATTTATATCTAGGATTCCAAGGGTCATGGATATAACGCAAATCCATACTCATGGGTTTATGATCTATGGTTCATGTGGCCCAACTCTTTATGTATCCATACATAAACTTAGTCCAATATGGATCATAAACCTAACACATATAAATATAACCAATTACCATAATTGGTCCCCATAGATTTAATTAGTCTCTTTTGATCGCTAAATTAATTCCAAACTAATTCTTGATCAATACTAATTAAATCATATGATTTCATATTAATATATTAGAACTTATAATATATTAAAAAATCATATATAACCTCTTCTCAAAAGTCCATTCTAACAAATTATCCTGATGATATGCAACCCAAATGGATCATGCTACTCTCGGATCGACTACATAACAATAATAGTTATGGGCTTAAACATATAATCAAACAGTCTCCCACTTGGATAAGTCTAAAACTATTATTGCAAATACGACTCCAAAATCCCGACTAGCAATCGTAGCTCTTAAAAGTCGTTGTCGAACTCTGACCTAGTCAAT